GCACTTCTTGCCCTTGGCAGGACATACAGATTTCGTGTGCTCAGAGCGACCACAATTCGGACAAGTGAACTTGGTCGCACTTGATGTCTCACTTGGCTTAGAGTCAGCTGGCTTGTGACGTTTCTGCTGCTTGTACGCCGACTGCTTGGCAGCACTTGCCTGGAGGCCAGGACTGGGCATGTGTGCCTTAGTGTGGTATGCTGCTTCCTCCGTCCGACAGAGGGTGACAGCCTGGTCGAGCGTGAGACCATGAGTTGCGAGCAACTTGTGTCGCGTCTCATCGTTCCGCACACCAATTACGACGCGGTCGCGCAGAGATTCCTCCTTGAGGGTACGGCCGAGGCCTTTGCACTGCGCACAGCAGCGAGCATCACACGTTCCACATAGGCTGTGTGACAAGAAGTCGCATGCACTTTGTAGTTCACACAGGGCTGTGTAAAACGCATTAAATGATTCTCCAGCTTGCTGGACACGCTGGAAAAAATCTATGCGGTCCAACAGTGGATTACGTTGCCGTCTGATATACGCCTGAATGCGCTCCAGCATCAGGTCGACGTCAGCTGAAGCTGGTATGCAGATAATATCCTCTCGGATAAAACGTCGCAGCTCCTCATCGAAACACTGACGGAGTGTTGCCACTCTGGCCTCACGAGCCTGGCTGGCCAAATGCTGGCAAACACTAAAATCTCTCCAGCTTTCAACGAAGGAGTGAAAATCAGCCAGCGTCGCAGACGACAATACGTGTGGGCAGGAAACACTGTTCACTGGCCGTGGTGCTGAGGTCTGCGAGGTGGACTGAGCTGGTGCTGAGGGCTGCGGAGTGAACTGAGGCTGCGATGGTGATAGCGACCTGCTCTGAACATTCTTGAACAGATCTTGCATCGCCTTATCACGAGCCTCAGCTGCACGCATCTGCTGCTCCATAAATTTCATCAGGACACCCATTTGAGATTCCTGCTGTCGCTCGGTCGCGGAGGACAGGTCAAATCCGGTATCGTCCTGTGATTGTTCCATTACGATTAGTCACGCGTCCACGAGTACGAACAAAATTTAATACACTACTAAAATAATTCAACTGAGACAGAGTTTCGATCGCGGAAACTATTACTTCACACGGAAAAAACAACTGGGCCCGTGCAAACACTACAAGGTGCGGACACAAGGCACGGACACAGGAAAGAACAAGTTCACTGCGCCATGATACGTTACTATTTATTCGTGAAGACTTGGGAACGGAAACAAAACATGTCATGAGAAAGAACAACAGGAAAAAGAAGCACACTCAACTAATCCGTGTGTGTGCGTGCATGCAGTACAACTATGACGTAATGAATATAGGTACACATCACCCGTCTCTCCCCCTCCCGTCCCTCCCCCCATCCCCCGTCCCTCCTCCCCTCCCCATCCCTCCCCTAACCGTCTCACGGAAGCGTGAAGGCTGTTCTTGACCCGCGCTGTTCGCGAATCAGTGCAATTTTTATATTATACTATTTTTCCGTTCTCCTTCTCGATACCTTGCTCTGTGCCTATTGAATGCATGCCCCTGATATCTGTGAATGTTTTATTATTTACTAAAATTGAAAACTCACCATGCAGAATTGAGTTAACTGTTCGGGTAAATGTCGCCCACTATCTGGGGGCAGGACATGTTAGAGACTTCCTGTTTGAATGAGCTCAACATTGTGCGGAGGGCAGTGCTCATCTGCTCACCTTGGTCGCCTTTGACTTTTGGACCGATGTCAGGCTTCCACTCCAAGATGGGACCTAGGGGTGGAAAATGATCTTCACACAAACTGGGTTTCGAACCCAGAATCTCGTGTTTGGAAGGCCAATCACGCTCTACCCAAACCACTTTGCCAACGTGACGCACCGCATTGTGAACTAAAAACATCGGTAAAAACAACATGAGTGCAACCATGCACATGCCTCTACCATGATTCATGTGCCGTTCAGTTCCTAGTGTATGTTACTATGGGGTTATGGTGATGACAATTTCAACGAATGAAAGCCTAAAGCGAGAAGAACGCAGAATTGTCAAGTTGCGCCTAGGATCTGAACGCAGACCACTCACTTGAACTGTGACAGCATGGCTGGTCTGTCGTCGGGAAGTTTCCATGATCCAGCATTATCCCAATTTGACGACATGATACCTTCAACGTCAAGGTGACCTTCTGTGGCCATGCACTTGAAAAGTTGGAGATCTTCGAGCTAGCTACATGTACTAGTAGGCCGACAAAACTGTAAATAGTAATATCACGGGGTTCTAGCCAGGAAATATTGCTGTAGGGCCTGGGGGGACAAGGGAAACAAACAGTCTACCCATCTTTATCATGTTCCACTATGGTCACGGTTCACTTTATCCTCTACATTCAATTCACACTATCCACAAGGCCTAACATCACCATTTCCTATACACCCTCCGTTTGTATTGCATTTTCATCCAATGTCACGGTTTCTTTTGCTCGAAAAAGAGGCTACATTCTTCCTCTACACCCTCCGACACATGTGAACTGTATCACCAGGTAACAGTGCATGTGGTACATTGTACATGATGCACACACACACACACACACACACACACACACACACACACACACACACACACACACACACACACACACACACACACACACACACACACACACACACACACACACACACACACACACACCTCAGACCTCAGACCTGCCCATCGCGGAAGCGATGATAGCGAACAGCTATGTTAGACATAGCAACTTGTGCTGGGATTACACCATTCAACAGCTTGCAAGGCTGATGAATTGACCGCCACCCACACACACCCACACCCACCCACACACCCACCCACCCACCCACCCACACACACACACACACACACACACACACACACACACACACACACACACACACACACACACACACACACACACACACACACACACACACATTAGTCATTAGATAAGCCTTGTTCTGTTGAAAACAAGTAAGGGACACTGTTTCCAAACACAGTGCGCCCTCCGCAATGTAACATGCCGTCGACCAACAATGATGCACACATGTATCGCATCGTACTCCTCTTCCTCCCGCCACTGAAATGTTGAGCCTGCATCACCTCTGCCCCCTTTCTCAGAATAACACGAAACTGCGAGTAACAACAGAGAAAGACTTGATTGTGTCAGTGCTGTGTGAGATTTAAAAATCATCACAAAACGTGGCCCAGAAATGATGTGGCACTTATTTCAGACAGGCAGTAATAAACGATCGGCGCCGATTTCCGAAAAAAACGGTGCAGCCAAACCATGTACCACCGTGCGGGATCCCTGGTCATACCAAGAGTACAATATCAACCAAGGGGTTATGTACTCTTGGTCATACAGAGCGTGCACAGCCTCTTGACCGCAGTTTTCATCACTTCCAGTGTCGGAAGCTGGGACAGTTGTAAAGTACCAGTTCACAATTCTACTGTGAACCTATATGCATATCATCAATATGAAGTTCCAGCACGGCTGTGTTTTGCTACACGGAGTCTCTGCAGTTGGAAAAATTCTCATTCTGTCTCCATTGTAAGGAATCCCCGCTTTTTTTTTTTTTGCTGTATTGTTGTTGTTGTTGTTTCTTTATTTTACTTCACCATATGAACAGGCAAGACTGCCTTCTCACCGGGGCTATTGGCACACGGCTCTCACAATATGATGAAAATGTGTATTGTGCACTGAGTGGACAAGGGAATAATTCTACTGTAAACTACATGTACATGCATATCATCATTATGAAGTAAAAGTTCTGGCTGTTCTGAACAGTGTAGACACCAGGGAGTTGTTTAACCCCGTTTATACGACTCCCTGGTCACAGTGGTGTCTACACTGCAAACACAATGCTGGCCGTTCTTATTCGGTGTGAGCTTTTCGAGAATTTTTTCGGGATATTGCCTATTAAAGGGGAAGTTAAGGCAAAAATTAAAATTTCACCAGTTGTAGTCTTCGGGGTGCTGAGTCGAATGGTCGTGGTCCGAGGAAGCTGAGACGCTCCCTTCCTACTTGAATCCCAATCGAACTCGCGCACTTCCACCGAAACTGGGTGACTGCGCCCTACTAGATGGGGATTTGTATGCAAAATGTCACTAAAAGCGCCATTTCGTTCTTATAAAAGCACGGATGACCGCGATTGGCCCATATGTTGTAGTCTTTTGGACGCTGAGTCGACTGGTTTTGGTCCGAAAAGACTGCGATGCAGCGTCCCTCCTTTATTCCCAATCGAACATGGTTGAAGAAGCGGTCACGTGCTCCTGAGTGCCCAAATCACCTGGTCACCACGCCAGCAGGCGACAACTTTCACACCAAGGTTCAACTCGAGTGACAGGACTACACCCAAAAAAGGTCAAACAGGCTAGTAAGTTGTACCCTGCAGGCACCATGACCAGGTGACTGGCGTACGCAGGAGCACGTGACCACTTGTTCAACCATGTTCGATTGGGAATAAAGGAGGAACGCTGCATCGCAGCCTTTTCGGACCAAAACCATTCGACTCAGCGTCCAAAAGACTACAACATATGGGCCAATCGCGGTCATCCGTGCTTTTATAAGAACGAAATGGCGCTTTTAGTGACATTTTGCATACAAATCCCCATCTAGTAGGGCGCAGTCACCCAGTTTCGGTGGAAGTGCGCGAGTTCGATTGGGATTCAAGTAGGAAGGGAGCGTCTCAGCTTCCTCGGACCACGACCATTCGACTCAGCACCCCGAAGACTACAACTGGTGAAATTTTAATTTTTGCCTTAACTTACCCTTTAAACTGTTCCTTGAAACCAGAGGTCTATACTTTTGAACCGCACTATAGTGATACAGGGAGTGAGCGAATTCGAACTGACTGCCAGCTATGGGCAACACACGGAAACAGAGTCGGCTCCACATACTGACAGCATTGGCGGTGTGTGGGCACTGACAAGTGCATCAAGCAGCACAAACGACACTAATTATTCGTGTATGAAACAATGAGCTGGGACAGAAGCAGTACGCGCCTAATTCAACTCATAACGGTGCGACATGCTCTCAATAATAGAAAAGACAGAAATGTCTTTTAAAAACTTCCATTTCTGTTCAAGAAACGGATGTTTGCGACATCAAAAAATACATTTATAATCCGCTACCACAATTTTAGACCAAACTCTGATAATACTGGTCCACAAACTACAATTATGGCATACAAAACTGAATTAAATCTCGCTGACATCAGCTATCACACGGATACTTCAAAGTAGTTTGTTGATGATCGGGTCGACAGTACACACACAACCCTTACTGCACAAGCCCCAGGCTGGGTGGCAGCAAGCAGCCATTACAGAAACTCCAAGCTGAACGGCCGTAGAGTCAGGGCTGGCGCTGCAACTCAGCATTCCAGCCAGTCTATCCACCGAGTCGCGATGCTTTCACGGTGACCAGGGAGTTCTGGCATGCTTGTTGTTCACATACACATCATCCATGTACCTGCAGGATCAGACAAGGTCCAGAGCGGACAGAACACAGTCAAACAAAGTCTAACCACATGTACCAACTAGTGCAGTCCTGCTCAATGGAATCCGATCAAGCGAGCCAATGCCACGCTGGGCGCTATGCAGCCCTAGACCTGTGAACACTGGGATGGTGAACTGGTGCAGCTCGGAACTCAGGCTCATGCCATCGGATTTCATTGAGCAGTACCCGCACTACTAACGGTTACAAGGAGCCTTCAACAAATCATACCTAGCAATGCCTCCACCATGGAGACACTATGTTTTATCTGTTGCGTTGTCGCCCACGACTATGGCAGGACAGAGTTACCACAGGCACTCGTGCAGTGAAACTTCAGTATAAAATACTGATGTACCCGCAACCGAACGGGGCGTGAAAATGCCGTACTACAGTGCAGCTCATTGAAATCCCATCATGATGCGGGTCAATGCGCAGCCCTCAGCCAGACCTGCGAACACCGGGCAGGGGCACTGGCGCAGGGTACAGACTTGAGTCTTGCGATCGGATCTCATTGAGCAGCACTGAGCATCACTGTGCATAGCTGAGATACTGCATACAAGTTCTAATATCCAGGGTGAAATGACTACTGCACTAGCATTCCTATGTAGGGTTCTCAAAAAATAGAAAACAATTATTGTACATCCCAAGGGGTGTTCTACCCGGGGTGTTCTACCCGGGGTGCATATTCAGTTCACAGTTTATACAGCACTGCTTCAATGTATTACTAAAAATACTGCCGCGGACATGGAAATCCAGTCGATTGACCGGGGCCGGCGCCCTCAGCGCGTACAGAACGAAGTCGTTGCATGCAGTGCACATGTTGATACGATGCGACCAGCAGCAGCGCGTAATAATGTATGCCATGGCTGCACGGCCAGCGCCCTGGGGCCGCTAGACGTGCGACCGGATTTCCATGTCCGCGACAGTACTACCTGTAGAAACAAGTACGGAGTGGAACCTCACCGGCCTTTGTGTCCCCTACAGGACGGTAGAGGTATATGTGCGTGTGTGTGTGTGTGTGTGTGTGTGTGTGTGTGCGCGTGTGCGCGCGCTGGCAGCGAAAGCATTGGGAAATGTAGTGCATTTTCTTCTTGCATCCCATAGGACTCAGCATTGCAACAACACCTGAGTAGCGCCGAAGAAGCCAGGAAAACGTCCATGAGGCGTTTCCGGTGGAGGAAAGGATAAGGTAATACACTATGAAGTATTTTAAGAACTCAGATGGTTAGCCCCACTTTGGAATTAGCACTGATATCCATGAACCTTCCAAGTTGGAAGGCCGTTGGTTTAGCGCTATCGAGCAGTGCTTAAGCTGACTTTCTTGCCGTGGAATGTCTCAGTTCGCCTGGTCAGTTATGTGCTAGATTGTGCACGTCTGACTGTTCAAAAATCTGGTTTAGTTGGTGGACTCGATCGCGTAACTTGTGCCCACAGTTTTCCATGTTATGATAGGAAGCAGGCAATTTTCGGGACCGCTTCACGAGAATGGGGCAGCTATGGATGGTCCAGATGCCATACTGCTGCTGGCCTGGACATAATTATAATATTTTAGGCACAGTCAACTTCGCTAATAACGACTGCGGATGTAACGACAATTCGCGAATAACGACAGAATTTCCATGCCCAGAGCAAAGTCCATACTACCTGTATACATATAACGACACTTCGCGAATAAGGACACTTTTCTGATGCCCCGCCGAGTGTCGTTATACGCAAAGTTGACTGTACTTTTAAGTTCAGACCATGACAGAGCCCCTTACCCAGTGTTTGTGCTGTTGAAGTGCGTGAAACGTTTGGTGCGTTTCGATGTGTTCGGCGGCGGCTCTGTGCCAGACGTGCCCCACTTCTTCTGCAAATGCGGCAGGGGAAATCCCTGCGACGGCAGCATTTCCCGCACGGATGACCACTCCTCACAGCGAGTGCCTGAGCAAAGAAGACACAGACAATGTGTGTACTATAGTGTATATTGGGTATGAGATGGTAAGGGAATCTAGCACATGTATCTACAGGGATAGAATACGGCCAGAGACGTCCATACATATACATCGGTTAAATTCTTCACAATCAGTTCCCCCAGCCCCGTTTCACTAACCCGTTGTAGAGCAGCAGTTCAGACATGTTGTGCGCATGTACTTGTAACGAAGTGCGGCCTTCGCTTATCCATGCATCTTCTGCTGATCCTGTTGTGGACCCTGCCCGTGCGTGTGTGTGTGTATGATGTGTGTGTGTGTGCATGTGTGAGTGTTGGGGGAGGGGATGATTCGCTTACTCGTATGGTCGCTACATGTGCATGTGAGTTGGCGGATTCGCTTATGGGAGCTAAGTCAACGGAGGTGATAGGTTCGCTTTAGTTAATGCATCGCTGTGCCGTGACTTTGCCAAAGTATCTCAATCGATGATGTAACCTCAAAACCTCCATACTGACTATAGTGTGATCGCTTACCCATACCTGTCAACCTTTGCAAACCTGATGTTGGGACAATGACATCCCTACATGTAGGTATGAAAATGTATACAAATGCACCGCAGCTGCGAGGCACGCGACAAATGCACTTGTGGGTGCCTATTACCGATTACCAGTCTAGATATTCAGGACAGTCACAGCCCAATCGGGCTGGTTAGCAGGTAGATCTACGCTTACCTTGGCATGATCGGTAGTGCATGGTTTCCTCAGATTCTCTGGAGAAGGTTCCCAGCTGTGCGTCGGGCACCTGCACCCAGTACTTGGGAACTGGTTCAGGCGGTGGGTACTTCTCAGCCATTGGCTTCACTGTGCGCGCTGGGTACACGGACCTCTCGTCGTTCTTGCAGTGTGTCTTGTGCACCCACGTCACCTCGCTGCGCGGTGGATTCCTGCTGGCTGCTTTCAGCACCGCATCTGCCTGGTGGCGACTGAAACCGGCGAATGCATCGCGTTTGTGTTGCGCTGCGTAGTCCGGTGGCCATGTGGGACCGCCAGCTTCAGCCATCTCCCGGATAGCGACTGATCTGATTGCTACCACTGCGACAATATAATTCAATAATACTATGGTACCAAACAAATAAAAACTTTTGGGATTCGGAGTCCGAACACGTGGGTTGGAGGCGCGTGAGTGCACTAGCGTGCGTCAGCGACAGTTCCGTTGGAGTGGCGTTTCAATTCACTCAGATCAGGCTGAACAGCGCGATATCTGGCCGCCGGCCGCCGGCGAATCTGCTTGAGCTGCACTGTCTTCAAAATATTAGTCTGCGTTCTGCCTGCGTTCGATCACTAGTTACATTCCAAGGACTTGTACGACCGTTTTGCCAAGTGACAAAGTCTATGCCATGCACCACGAAGACCAGAACTGGTACAACAACACGAACAAAATACTACTAGCACTAGACTACTCTGCTCTCTTCGGCTGCCTGGCTCAGTGCTCAGCAGTTTCTCCATGGAAAACCTCAGCGGCACTCAGTAATTTCAACACTGAGATCAGTGTGGTCTAGCCAAGACCTCTAATGTCAATATTCTACAATGAACAGCACTACGACGAGTTACGCTAAATCGATTATGATTATTATGAAACAGAAGCGATCATTGCTCTTTTTTCAAATGAGTGTGTAGAGTCTACCACGATGCGTCGATGGACCACTGACTCTGACTGACACTGACTCTGACTCCACGACTGTGGTTCGTGTGGAGTGAGAGTCAGACAGCTGTTTGTGACTAGGCGGTGTCAATAGCAGATCTACTGGGTGTCAGATAAGCCGTAATCATGGTAATCAAAAGGTGATCGGCTGATCGGGTGCATGTGGCTGTCGCGTCCAGGAGTGCAGTTGTCATGGTTGTAGACGTCACAGAAGACGTGCCTGTCTCAGCTGCAAACTCCAGTCTCGCTTGCAGTTGCAGCTTGGTTGACCAGGTTACTGGCAAAAGTATCCATGACAACACCGCCAAGGTTAGCATCAGGGAGTCGTCAAATACCCGACTCCCTGGTTAGCATGGTTGTTTGTTGTTTGTATTAGTGAGGTTTTGCATTCCGAATTTCGGTTCGGCGCTCTTCGGTCATTTGTCGAACATCAAAATGTCGAATTTTCGCACCAACGTTTGTTTTGCAAGTCGAAAATGATGTGTTTTCATTTCGTGAGCCCTGGCATCAGCAACGTCCTGTCCCGTGCTCCTATTCTTGCTGATTCCAACGAACTTTGATCGCCCTAAGAGCCGAGGGCCAGACCTGTCTCCTCAGTCGCCTCAGAAAAACCAACTCCATGGCCAAGTCAAATTTTATGAGTATCGCCATAGTCTTTTCAGCCACACAGATGACGGTGAGGACACTCCAGGCGAAAGAGAGTAGACAAGCAGTGGAGGAGCAATCAGAGGTAGCTGACGACGCTGATGTCGCCAAAGACGCCTGGGAAGCGATGCCGAGATAAGAAATCTCTTTGAATAAATCACGCGCTGGCGCTCTTCTACAGAAAATTCATCCGAAAAATATTTTCGGCAAAGTGAGCTTTTTCCGAACAAACATGCCGAATCTTCGCGTGCATTTTCGACCTCGCTCCCGCGTGCCGAATCTTTTTGCCGAATTTCGGAATGCAAAACCTCGCTATTGTAGTCTTTATTTAGAGTGGGAAGTCCAAAACAGGCCCTAGCCTAATAACAATGGTCCCACTATGGTTACAGTTACTATTGTTACTATTACCAGGTAACCGGTATTAGTGTACATGCATGTAGCCTGATTCATAATTATAACCAAGTTTTCGAGAATTTTTGGCGTACATGTACTTTGCTGTGACTACAGTAGTCAGTACACTTGGTTGGAGCTCCCAACAAGTAGAGGGCTTACAGAGCTCCCAACAAGTAAAGGGCTTACAGAGCTCCCAACAAGTAGAGGGCTTACAGAGCTCCCAACAAGTAAAGGGCTTACAGAGCTCCCAACAAGTAGAGGGCTTACAGAGCTCCCAACAAGTAAAGGGCTTACAGAGCTCCCAACAAATAAAGGGCTTACAGAGCTCCCAACAAGGGTGAGTCCTGGGTCACATGTTCATTGGGGGAATTGGGGGACCGAAATCTGAGTTTCTTCATTTATCACATCGCCTCTCAGGCGCGTGCTCGGCGATGGGCACGGGGGGCACGCGCACCCCCCAAAAATTTTCAATCTGGGTAATTGCAATTGTAATGTATGCAAATATGCTCTAAAATTCAAGAAAGGTTGCAAACAAATAATTGCAGAAAATTGCCGTGGGGGCTCCCCTCGGCTCCCGTGCACCCCCCTAGTTGGGGGGCCGAGCACGCCCCTGAGCCTCTACATGCGTCTTTCTGCGAATGCAGGGCCGCATGTGCCCTTGTCACACTAGCCACAACACAACCTCTTTTTTTAACACTCCTGGCTCAGTGCCGGTAGTTGCCCTAGTTTTCCGGTAGTATACCGTGAACCCCCCCCCCCCCCCCCGGTAGTATACCGTGAACCCCCCCCCCCCCCGGTAGTATACCGTGAACCCCCCCCCCCCGGTAGTATACCGTGAACCCCCCCCCCCGGTAGTATACCGTGAACCCCCCCCCGGTAGTATACCGTGAACCCCCCCCCCCGGTAGTATACCGTGAACCCCCCCCCCCGGTAGTATACCGTGAACCCCCCCCCCCCCCCCCGGTAGTATACCGGGAAAAGCGCTATGGTTGGCAAGTCTGTGCAGCATGATGACCGTGGCCGTGTGCATGCCAAACAACAGTCATCTTCATTTCCCACATGTTCGTCCGGTTGCTATGCGCAGTGAAGCGGGCGAGACGTAGGCACTTTGAGACTTGTAGTCTATCCCTTCGAGCTTCCGCCACGACGTCGAGTCGACGATCGACCCCGAAGAAAAAAATGTAGGTCGGCAAGTCCTTCCGCTTGCGAAAAGGCAGATACCGTATTATCTCTATTATAAGCACGGTCCTTTATTTTTTCAATGCACCTCCGCCCCGTGCTATTTAATGGAGACGTTCCTTTATTGGAGACTGTTCCATTATTATTTCAACCTCATTATTTTCAGAGGCATGTCATGCCAAATTCATGTCAGACACACACATTTCAGGGTTTTTTTCGCCAGTACAGATAATGAATTTACACAGTGTGCTTATAATGGAGACTGAGCACTTTATTTTTTGAATGCCGCCCCAAGGTGTTCTATTATTGGAGACGTGCTATTATTGGAGACTGTGCTTATATTATTAGAGATAATATGGTAAGAGTCTTGATTTGTATCAAGCTTGTCGATCATAAACGCTTGTATTGATATGAGATTATGACTAATCTTATGTCCAGCCCGGGCCCCTCGAGTCTCTCGACAGTCGAGAGATGTGTGTGTAGAATCCAAATGGAATCTTCGGCGTTCACATGTGCATGCTCGCCAGGCGGGTGCAGGTGACCAATGTCAATGACCATGCATGGTTGACAGCACCAGATGGTTGGACTCGCAGAGGTGTCAGTGTTTGCGCTTGTGTCACGGGACCATAACAATAAACTGTTGAGACTTCAGCGGAAAACTCACCGGAATGAGCTGAACAGGAAGCTAAATACTCGCGAGGTGATCGCTCAGCAAACAGCCGTTCTGTGAGCATTTCGAGTTTGTGTTCCTCTGCTCCCAGATGGGGCTCAGTGGCGACTTATGTTCTTGGCAATCTTGCAGTGCAAGGATCATGTGCCTGATTTGTCCTCCTGCATGGGGACACCAGTGCAGTGCTTGCTGGAGGTTCGCCCGCGAACATGAGACTAGCCCTAGATAGGAGCTGATAATGAGATGCGATTCCATTGATTAGCACGGCGGATGCTCGGATGCTCCGCCGCAACAGCGCTGTTAGCAAGATGAGGATTTGCAAACTTCTTCTTGTCGCTCTTGTCTTGGTCTTTCTATGCACTTTGGCTGCTCGTTGCATTGGAAGTGAAGCGGTTGGTGGAGACGGCAGTGGCAGTAGTGGAGCGCTAGGCGATGTTAAAGTTTATACGGACACCTGGGCCGTACAGGTTCGTAGTGATGTGAGCGAGCGGGACGCTAGGCGACTGGCCGAAAACTACGGATTCGATCACATTCGACAGGTACTAAGGTGGTGTGCATGGCATGTGTGAATCCAAGTGCAGTGTGGGTTTTTCCTCTACAAAATCCACGTATCTCCAGGCACTGAAGCAAATAAAGGAATGCGGTGATGGGGCCCATCAATTTTTAATGGAACGACTCTTTGGCGAAATCTGAGAGCCAGAATCACACAGGCACTACTACCCAGTTCCTAGCAGTGTAGGTGTAGACTAGACTATGTTATGGCGGTACCAAGCAAGACTCCATGGCAATCACCATGCCAAGAGTGTGCAACTCTGATCTCCGGGTTATAAGTTCATGATGCCATGTGCTGCCTTCACTACGACGTAATGAAAACACGGCACAGTCAACCTCTCGTACTCGTAGGGCGTACACTCACAAAATACCCCGGTGTCAAGGAAAGCCATGCACGTGAAACATCACTCGCTGTCACTCCTCTTGCTTTGGTGCCCGGATACACCCTATTATCTACCTGCGCCATGCCCCTCCCCCCCCCCCCGTGCACGCGCACACACACACACACACGCACACACGCACACACACGTACACACACACGCACACACACACACACGCACGCACGCACACACAACTGTGTGTATGTCTGTACAGTCAACTTCGCTAATAACGACTGCGGATATAACGACAATTCGCGAATAACGACAGAACTTCCATGCCCAGAGCAAAGTCCCATCCAACTGTAATACATATAATGGGACTTCGGGTATAACGACACTTCGCGAATAAGGACACTTTTCTGATGCCCCGCCGCCGAGTGTCGTTATATGCACAGTTGCCTGTACTTGTTTCCACACCATGCAGGTTGGATACCTTGAAGACATCTACCATTGGGACCACACCCGCGTAGCAGCAAGGAGCCGCCGAGCAGCCGCTGACATTAGTGGCAAGCTAAAGCAAGAACCAAAGGCAAGTTGCGTGCAGGAGAGACTCTGCAGAGAACTGCATATACATGTACACAGTATAACCTGGGTTTAGCGACCACCTGCTCTTAACGACCGTTTTTCCATGCACCAAGAGTCCTACACAGACAATGTGGGACCTGGTTATAAAGACCGCCTGGCTTTAACGACCACTTTTGCTTGCACCGCGGGGTGGTCGCTTAAACCAGGTTTCACGGCGACCACTCGGATAAGGCGACCACCTGTCCCAGAAGACCACTGCAGCCAGGACCAAGGGATGCTATTTCCAGTCAAATAACCCTGGATAAGGAGGCCGCCTGGTAACAGAGACCACGTTTTGAAGGTCCCTTGAGCGGTCGCCTTAGACAGGTTTCACTGTACAGTAAAACCTGTCAAGGCTACCACTCGGATAACGCAACCACCTGTCCCAGAGTCACAGTACCCTTGCAGCCAGGACCAGGGGATATGATTTTCAGTCAAATGAGCCTCAGTGGATAATAGGAGACCACCTGTACACCGTGACCGTATTTGGAAGGTCCCTGTGAGCAATCGTCCTAAACAGGTTTCACTGTATACTTGATCTACACTGTAGCCTAGGCGTGGTCCTCTGCTTACACAGCGCTCAATGCCCGAACGGACAGAGCTTACTTGCACACTAACTCGAGTCTCAGCAACGAAGTCTTGTTCCACCTTGTCCATGTATATAATTGATATACAGTGAAACCTGTCTAAGACGACCGCTCAAGGGATCTTCAAAAGTGGTCTCTGTTACCAGGTGGTCTCCGGATCCAGGGTGGTTTGACTGGAAATAACATCCCTTGGTCCTGGTTTCAGAGGTCTTCTAGGACAGGTGGTTGCCTTATCCGAGTGGTCGCATTGACAGGTTTTACTGTGTTGACAAAGTGCATGCCTAGGGTCCTGGCCACAAATAGTCCCGTCAATGCTCCGTTGAAAGACTCGCCTACTCTCCCCTGACTCACTTGTGAGGTCTGCATTTGCCACTAAGGTGTACAAGGCATAGGCATAGTGGTGGCCTGCGGAAGCGAAGGCTAGTTTGTGTGTTTCTGAACATTCAAGTGATGCCAACGCGAATCCCGCGAATCATTATTAATGCTCAAGCTAGTCTGATGAGTGCTACGGAAAGATGTCTGGTCTCTTTTGTTGTTGTCCTGCCGTTGTGCTGCCGTTGTGCTGCATTGAGTGTGACTTGTGCACAAAGTGTAGGTGTGCTTGGTATGCAAACAGAACAACACTGTGTTAGTGACATTGTCAAGTTGCGCAGACAGTACAGAGAAAAACTCCCTTAATCTGGGCAGCTTGGGACCAAGCATTGTCTGCAATTGGGAATTTCCCGTAGCTGAGAAAGTCAGTTATACTTATGCATGAAAGAAAACATTTTTTTGCCAATCCGTGAATAGTTTTACGATACATGTATATCCAGCCATAACAGGCAGTGAGTATTGCAGGGGAGGGTAGGAGCCAATCTCGTCAGGAAGATGTTGCAAACAATGTACAAGTGGCTATACTCCGTTCTGCTTACACCTGTTCTGACCGATCGGTGTACCTCTAACTCACAGGTGGTGTGGTTCAGACAGCAACATCTGATATGGCGGACTAAACGCTCCTCCGTGTTGCCGTCTCCTCCTGCCGATGGCATTGCCTTGTCGGATCCACTCTGGGAGAAAGAATGGCATTTGGTGAGTGAAACAAACCTGGTTTGCCGCAGTTGCTGCATGGTGTGTGCAACTTGCATGCACAGCACAAGCAGCATCATGGCATTGTATGTATGGATTAAATGCTGCACTCATTTTACTGGCAAGTTGACCGGAATAGCCTTGACAGTGGCTGCATGGTTTGTGCATGGTTGGTGCATGGTTGGTGCATGGTTGGTGCACGGTCGGTGCATGGTTGGTGCACGGTCGGTGCACAGTCGGTGCGCGGGCGGTGCGCGGGCGGTGCGCGGTCGGTGCGCGGTCGGTGCTCGGTCGGTGCGCGGTCGGTGCGCGGTCGGTGCGCGGTCGGTGTGCGGTCGGTGTGCGGTCGGTGCGCGGTCGGTGCGCGGTCGGTGCACGGTCGGTCCATGTCAGTGCATGTCAGTGCATGTCAGTGCATGGTTGGTGCATGGTTGGTACATGTCAGTGCATGGTTGGTACATGTCAGCGCATGGTTGGTGCATGGTTGGTACATGTCAGTGCATGGTTGGTACATGGTTGACATGCCGCACGGTGTTGGCACTATGGTATTGTATGTATGCAGTGCATCGTAACATGTGTCACTTATGAGCTGGAAACTTCCCGTGGATATTAAACCTTGAAAATGCGAACACTGAGAGCTAGTCACGCTGAGTGTTGAGTGGTAGCCAAGAATATCGCAAATACAGCGATTCCACACACAGCGATTCCACACACCGCGATTCCACACACAGCAATTCCACACACAGCACGGAGAAGCAGGCTGGCAGATATTGACAGGTAAAGCCTTTCTTATCTTTTAAAATGAACTGTTCATGAAGTTTAGAACGGCTGCCCGGTAACAAGCACCCCGAATGGGTTCTTCTCTTCCTGAAGCCCTTCAGCCTTGAACAAATTCATATTCAAGGTCTATCACAAGGGTTGATGCACCTACTCAATCGTGGACTGTTTCGATCCGTGTTCACTGGTGAACGCAGTACAGAGAAAAGGGGTTGAATCCGCTGGCATCAATCTACTTTAAAAAACAAATGACTGGGAAATGGTGTAGATGCAACACCAAGTCCAGTGGAACAATGACACCAACAATGATTGTGAGGTGTGCGTGTGTGTGCGTGTGTGTGTGTGTGTGTGTGTGTGTGTAACACAAGCACACATATACACACACACACACACACACACCTTGACCTGAGATCAGTCGAGACTACCCGCTGAATTTAAGCATACTGTGTCTGCGGCCGCGACTTTCGCCGTCCGAATGATTTATCCCGACACAAGAACTACTGTCTCGCCTAATAGCTATCATCGCCTTCGGCGATGGGCTTTCCAAAGGTCCAAAGGTGTGTGTGTGTGTGTGTGTGTGTGTGTGTGTGTGTGTGTGTGTGTGTGTGTGTGTGTGTGTGTGTGTGTGTGTGTGCGTTTGTGTGTGTGTGCGTGTGTTCGTGTGCTTGTGTTATGCAGAATGATGAAGTACATGAGAAGCTGAACACTAACCTCAGGTCATTGTATGAGGGAAGTCTGGAAGTGGTGGATGCTTGGCAAGATGGGTACACCGGACACGGAGTTACGGTTGTTATTGTTGACGATGGTAAGTTTCTCAGTGGAAGGCAATGGGGGCGAGGAGTGTGTGCGTGTGCTTGTGTGTGTGTGTGTGTGTGTGTGTGTGTGTGTGTGTGTGTGTGTGTGTGTGTGTGTGTGTGTGTGTGTGTGTGTGTGTTCGATCAATTGATCGAGAGAGAGGGAGAGAGAGAGAGGGAGAGAGGGAGAGAGAGAGGGAGAGAGAGAGAGAGAGAGAGAGAGAGAGAGAGAGAGAGAAAGAGAGAGAGAGAGAGAGTGTCAGTGTGTAATGAACTCATGCACCAGGTCTGAGGCACTTGAGCTGCCCTTGGGGCTAAGGCACTCTTGCTGCGTCTTTGGGTCTGCAGTGCTTGATTGAGCTGCCTTGCCAGGCAAGATTCAGCCATCATGGTGTACAAAGGATGCTTGCTTTCGAATATTTATTTTCATTTGTGAAGAGGTCATTTGTCTTCAATGGTCTTTCATGTGGATCATGTGGTTGGTACTCCGCTACAAAATATATGTACAGCCCGGACGTAAATGCATTTTCATTTGTTTTCATCTATGTTCTCTTGTATGTGTTGTGCAGGCGTGGAGTATACGCACCCGGATCTTGTAGACAATTACGTGAGTATCGCCGTGATGCGTACCACATCTGAAGTCCAGTACGCGGCAATGCATGATTCGTTCTAGCACAATGGAAGCAACACTGCACCGTGCAAACGTGTTTTCTCCACTTGTGCAATTCCGTCCTGTGTGACAACGTAGAACCATACAATTCTGTCGGGGTAAAGTGGTATGCCTGCTGCCTGTATTGCAGACCAAGACCTGCTCAAGAAAACCACTGTCCTAAAAGCAGTGATCCCATCTGCGGCACCGGTTGTCACCTTTGCCATCAAATGTGTTGCAATTAAATGTCCGCGGGTTTCGGGCGACCACCTACCGTAAGATTGGCGCCGAAGAATGGAGGAGCTCAAGGTGCAGCCTGGCATTGTTCTAAAATGTTCAAATTTTAGTCGTTTTGTTCTTATTCCGCGATCATGGATCGCATCGTGCGATGTGATCACATCACATAAAAAGCAGTACATGTGTTCTTAGTTCTGCAACTCTAGCCGGGATTGTTCTTACCAGGGGCATAGCAGCAGGTCCGGCCGGTCCGGGTTTGGCCTGACCACGTTTTCGCCCGACCACGCCCAGAATGCAGGATTTTGCACAACGAGTTCACAAATTTCCCGGGTAACCCGCCCCCCCCCCCCCCCCCTGTCCCCTCTCCGGCCGAACCACTTCTAACGCCGGTGCTACGCGCCTGCTTACATCTGGGCCATTTGCAGCCTGTTCTTCGGCGAAGTGTTCTACGGGCGCCCGATCACACTGTACATTTGAAGATTGTGATATGCCTGGCGGCGGCCGGGCATGTTGGTAACTATTATGATATGAGGTTTCACCTGTCCATGGGTGAAGCTAATGATTGCCTTCATGAACTCAACTACTGTGTTCAGGGGCATCGGAAGGTATTTTAGTGTGGTACGGTCAGCCATCTGAAACGGTACAAGTTACTTGTGGGGGAGTGGTGGCTGAGCCGAAAATTTGGAATTTTACATCCCGGATCAGTGTATTTTGTTGATTCACGGGGTATCTGGGGCAAAAAGTGGTCCGGTCAATACCGTAGTGACCGTGTCGTGTGCGACGCCCCTGGTGTTGTTGACTGATGATTAGCCCAGCACAGTAACACTCTGAGTTGAAGCTGAACAATCTGACTTCTGTGTGGGTGGCCGTTGTTATGTTGTTCTGTTATCTTGCATGACACTCAGCAACACTCAACTGTAAGGGTTCTTGACAACTACCGTATTTTCCGCAGTATAAGCCGCACTTTGAACACTCAAATTTGCCCCAAAAAGGGGGCGGCTTTTATACTCCGATGGTCAAATTAACGGTGATAAATATGATAGATGCCCGTATTTCGTGGAAGAAAAACTGGGGGTGCGGTGTATACTCCGGAAAATGCAGTAAGCCTTCTTATGCACTGTTGCTGGACTTTGTTGAGTTTTCTGTATCACTGCAATGCAACCGGCTCTGTGTGTGTGTGTGTGTGTGTGTGTGTGTGTGTGCGTGCGTGTGCGAGCGCGCGCGCGTATGTGCGGGCATGTGTGTGCACGTGCGTGTGTGTGTGCACGTGCATGCGTGCGTGTGTGTGCAGGAACGTGATATCAGTGTGGACTTGAATTCAGCTGACTACAACCCGCTACCTCGCTACACCAAAGATGACCGGAACAAGTGAGTGACGGGGGTGATGGCTAGGGTCATACGTTGTTGCTGATGTGTGATGGCTAGGGTCCTACGGGCTGTGCATACATGACGGGATGGCAAGGGGCTGTGCATCCGTGTTTGCCATGTATACATGTCAAGTACGTCACAAAAGAACTGTCACACACACACACACACACACACACACACACACACACACACACACACACACACACTCACACACGTACACACACACCCGCACACCCACACACCCACACACCCATCACACCCACACACCCATCACACACAGCTAGCTTGATTTGAATATGTTCTTTCTTCAGACACGGCACAGCCTGCGCCGGAATTACCGCATCCGCACAAAACAACTCTGTGTGCGGCAGCGGAGTCGCTCCAAACGTCACATTCGGTGCTATCCGAGTCATTGATGGCCCTGAGATGGACATACTGGAGGCAGCTGCACTGGTCCATCGCGTTCATGATATTGATATTTTCTCGTCTAGCTGGGGACCACGGGACAATGGCAAGGACCTGGATGGGCCTGGACCGTTGACTGTGGAGGCCTTGCTGCACGGCGCTTCTAAGGTAAATAAAGTGGTGCTTTCGTGCCCCGAATAAGTGGTCCACAGTATTACGTTGAGGGAATTCACATCCAGTGCATTTGTGATAAATAACAAATTGACCAAAGGTCAATGGCAAGGACCTGGACGGACCCGGACCGCTGACTGTGGAGGCACTGCGGCTTCACGGCGCCTCTAAGGCAAACGCCACGGTGGTGCTGCCATGCCACAAATAGGTGGACCACTGTCAATACCTGCACAAGGAGGGAACTCACATGCAGTGCATTTGTGTTGTCATGATAATAATACCGTATTTCCCCGAATATAAGTCGCACCTTTGTACAGTAAAAATCAAGGGTGAAAAGGGGGTGCGACGTACAATCATGCATGACTTACTACTGAACTTCGGTCAATACATGATCAAATCGATATTGCTCAAACCTGAAAATGGGGGTGCGATTTATAATTGAGTGCGACTTATAATCGGGGAAATACGGTACATGTTGGTGGTGAAAACTCTGGACCATGGAGGTCTTGGCCAATCAAGCCAGTTCTGATAGGACTGAAGCATTGTGGACAATTTCGATAAACGTTTGGGAAGTGTGTGTGTGTATGTGTGTGTGTGTGTGCTTGTGTGTATGTGTGCGTGTGTGTACGTCTTATGTATGTGCGCACATCTCAACATGAACTTTGTGTGCACACATGTTGTGTTCATTGTGCCCCGCCCAGGGTCGTGCCGGCCTCGGCAATCTCTACGTGTTCGCATCGGGCAATGGTGGCTATGCGGGTGATAGCTGTGCGTACGATGGGTACGCCAGCAGTCGATTCACTCTGACCATATCGGCAGTGACACAGACGGGCAAGGCGCCATGGTATGCAGAGGCATGTTCTTCAGTGCTGGCGTCGGCATTCAGCAGTGGTTACGATAGAGAGGCCGGAATAGTGAGTACCATGATGTCATTGGTAACCATACTGCAAGCAGTCGCCTGATAGACGCTTCACTAAAGTTTCACCATTTTTAAAAGTTTAGGGTTCACGGCTTGCCACTAAAAGCACCCGTCACGTGCGCCTCCATTTTGGATTATGGGCGCGCGCTACAGCCTGTACAGGCCGCGACAGCGCCTATCGAAGTAAAAAAATATCGACTCGAAGTCTAGCCGGAGAGCGTACTTTTGAATTTTTCCTTGGCTTCAGTGGCTTCACTTCACTCGGGCTTTGTATTTTTCTGACTGACCTGGACTTGATGATGGCGGCGGTGGCGGTCTTGGCGAAAGATCCAGTTCCATCTGAGACACTCTGTCGTCTTTTCTTATCTGCTGAGGTTCTGGCAAAGCGCAGCTGCATCGAACCCGACTAGATGTAGCTGCACGCATCCTTTGTTTGCCCTGCAAATCTCGATCTGTTGCTCTTCTTGCTGTTTGGCCGCTGATGCCATGGAAGAAAATATTCTTCCTGTAAAGAGGCCGAAACTGAGCTAGGGCACGTCAAGATATGTAGGGTATACAAAGAAAAAGAAATGTCATGGTCGTTTCAGCAGCTCACGACAGCCAACACGCTCCATCGTCGGGATTGGAAGTATCCAGCACGGCTGTTCCGAGCGCTGCTGCTCTTGTTATTCTTCTTCTTCAGAAATTCTCCACACCTTGTCAGCCAAAGTACGCGCGCGCGTGCACGGAAAATAGATGCGCTGAGCCGTTTCTTGTTCGATTTTGACAAATAATGGCTTGTTGTTTTGCTCTCGACCTTGGCTATCCTTCTACCGTTCAGTATTTTACGGAAACGCAACGGCTCCCCCTGTTTTTTTAGCCGAACTTTGGCCAAAGTTACTGGAAAACCCGGAACTCGTTTGAAAAAATACGAACGGTGGAAGTCTTGGAACGTCTTTCGTGCGTGTGGATTCAAAAATTCAGGCAGTTTGAGCCAACCGTAATGAATCCCGTAGAGTTGAAAGTGAGTGATATTGATGGGAAAATGCGATTTGAGCACTGACCGATTGTGTGGGACAGTATATGCACGCGCCTGTCATGTGCATGATGTAGCTGGCGACGCTAGCATGCCAATCCGTGAACCCTAAAGTTAGCTGGGTGGCATGAAAAAAAATGTTCGCGAAGTACTGTGGCCACATACATTGTCCACACTGACACATACTTCGTACATACACACCCACGCACGCACGCATGCACACTGTTGAAGTATCATGTTGCGCTGGTTAGCATTTGCGCTAAGCCCTCCTTAAAAAGATCACGAACATACCGTATTATCTCTAATATAAGCACAGTCTCCAATAATAGCACGTCTCCAATAATAGAACACCTTGGGGCGGCATTCAAAAAATAAAGTGCTCAGTCTCCATTATAAGCACACTGTGTAAATTCATTGTCTGTGCCGGCGAAACCCCCCCCCCCCCCCCCTGAAATGTGTGTGTCTGATATGAATTTGGCATGGCAACATGCCTTTGAAATGAGGTTGAAATAATAATGGAACAGTCTCCAATAAAGGAACGTCTCCATTAATAGCACGGGGCGGAGGTACATTGAAAAAATAAAGGACCGTGCTTATATTAGAGATAATACGGTAAATACGTCGCCAGCATAAGGCAGTTTACAGTATGATGTTTTGCCTGCCCTCAACGCCGTCCCAAGATTTAGTGTTGTTTCCGGACACAATCGCCGAGCGTAAGACAAATAGGCAAAGTTACTTTTAACTTTTAAAAGTACTGTATTGACAGATGATGCGCGCACCCATGTGCGTATATTTGCGTCCGTTCATGCGCTCGATTTTCCTATCCAGGTGAGCACAGACCTGCACAGCGGGTGCATGGATGATTTCAGCGGCACATCAGCAGCTGCACCCATGGCTGCAGGTATTCTAGCACTGTTGTTGGAGGCAAGGTGAGTCACCACATTCTCTTCTACTACAGCCAGGTTTTACAAAATTGGGACAGATATGCCGTGGTAAAACGTATGAAGAAGCAGATCCCAAACCCATTTTTTGGTGTACTAGCTGTGCTAGTACTTGTTAGCAACAATCCGAACTAGCGCACACACTGCACTGCATTGCTTTGTACTGCATTCAAGACTGACGTCATGCGCTTTGTTTTGCTGCGTAATCACAAATGGCACCAGCCCATTTTTGCGGAAAAGAAAAACAAATCTTGCTTGCCCTGTTGTGCTCTTCCAGACAACGGATCGTGCTTCAGCAGTGTTTCTTTTCCTTTCGTAGCTTTGCTGCCAGCCCGAGTGTCACCTCGACACTGTATTTCTTCAGTATGTCTGACCTTACTGTCGACACTGTCAAGGCAATGCCTTGCCAAGCCCTCCGCGGCGAGCCTTCTCAGCGCGGCTTGAATCCGAAAGGAAACTTAGTAAAAGTATTTTACAGGACCGTTTGCTGGCACAACTAGCCCTTGGTAGTGAGGTCTGCTCCGGCCAGGAGAACCAGCAACATGACAGTGCGGACACGGCTCGCGAGCCCAGAAGCCCGACGTGCACCAATGCCTCCTCCGCCAGCTCAGGTGACGCGGGCTCATCAACGGATCTCTGCGCTCCCGTACGGGACGAGGTGTAGTCGGCTTTGTCGGCCGCCATTTTATCATTATCGGAGAGCACTGTGCCGCTCCTCACCCAAGGCCAAGGCAATGCGGCAGCTGCCGCCACTACGCCAGGCCAAGCTCCTGTAACCCACCCGATCAGCCACCTGCACCAGCTGTGCCCAAGGCTGTGCAAGAACGTATCTTGCGAGGGGAGTTCGTAGATTTTTCAAGTTTGTTGCCTGAAATTCTTGCACACTTCCGGCCCAACATTCCGGCTGGTGCACAGCCCGAATAACGATAGCCAGCTAAATATCGTTGAGTCGGATGACGCGAAGCAGGTGCGTCGCAAGGTTCACGATAATTACACATGTAGCTACCCGGCTCGAGGCATGGACCACATACATGTCTGTTATCACGGCTGCTGCCCTACACCGCACTGCTGAACTGATTGCGTACCAGCAGTTGATCCTGACTGCTAACTGCCAGTTCTTCCCAAGCGCGTGGCTAGAGTACGACCGCCAGCTGCGGATGCTCGTGGCCCAGTAACCAGGCACGAAGAGGTTGGACACCATCGACGTGAACCTATGGCAGATAGCCGTCACAGGCCATGCACACCCAAAATGCGCTCAATGTAAGACGGTCCATCCAGGGGCGGTTTGTGTCCTTTTCGTCCCGAAGCCAGCAGCATTTACCTCCAGTGGTCGCAACCATACCAGCGACGGCCAAGAAATCTGCCGCAACTTCAATGGAGGTCGCTGTTCTTCGTCGTCGTGCCGCTTCTCCCACACCTGCAGCCAGTGTGGCAAGGACCACCCATGCATCATGTGCAACCAGCAGCAGCAGCGCGGAGCCAATCGGCCACCCCGCCGCTCCTAGCAGAATGGCTACTGAATCGCTTGACTCGGTACGTAGCTTCTTTCCTATACACTCTGCAGACACCACACTGCTAGCTGACCACTTTGCCCGCCTGTTACGTAACCACTCAGATCAATCATGTGTTGCGTATGTTCTCCATGGCCTGCGCCGTGGCTTTACTCTTGGATCTGCCGGCCAACACGACATTTCGGTTTTCTCTAATAATCTACCATTGGCTTTCACTCACTCGGCATTTATATCCGAGCAATTAGCTGCTTCCTGCGACCGCAGCGAGACCACAGGCCCATTTCCGTCACCTCCATTTCAGTTCATGCGCCGCTCTGGTATTGGTGCCATCCCCAAAAAGAACGGCAAGCCGCGAATGATCCACCATCTGTCTAGTCCGGAAGGCACCGGCGCGAACGACAGCATTCCTGCCGAGCCGCTCTCTCTGCACTACGCGAGCATTGACAACGCGATCAACATCATCATGTCATGCCCACAGCCTGTGTATTTGTCCAAGCTCGATGTACGCAGTGCTTTTCGGCAAATCCCAGTCCGCCGTCAGGACTTCGCTGGGAAGGCTCCTACTACTACGAGCGCTTTCTGCCTTTCGGCCTCCGCTCCAGCCCAGCCGTCTTTGACTCAGTAGCCACAGCAGTCAACTGGATCATGCAGCACGAGTTTGCTATAGATCACCGGCTTCACTACCTCGATGACTTTCTCGATATCTCCACTGGTTTGGCTGCAGCCAACCAGCAACTCACCATCCCCCTCCGGGCGTTCACGTATCTCGGCACTCCTCTTTGCTCCATCCCAGCTCAAAGGGCCATCACCATCATTGACCTTCCTTGGTATTGTCCTAGACTGCGAACGCCACGAAGCTCGGCTACCAGAGGACAAGCTGTCCGAGATCCGTGCGCCACTCATGGCTACTATCAGCGAGCGCAGCATCGGCCAGCGTCAACTCGAGTCCCTCCTGGGGAAGCTCACTTTTGCTGCCCGAGTCATCGTTCCTGGACACACATTCATGCGTGAACTATGATCAGCGTGCCCTGAACTGTGAATGGCCATGACAAGCTGCTCTACCAAGCCGCCATGCTGCTTCTTTGGATTTCTTCGGTGCGCTGAATTCACTAATGGCATCACACGGGCTGTACTAGCTCCCCTGGTGACGGACGCCTGCAACTCTTTCCTGCTTTCATCCAAGACGGACCCATTCGGTAAAGGCGTTACTAGTGACATTGGCCCGTCTGTACCCCCGTACTGCCCGGTCCGTGCCATTGTTAGCTACCCATTTGTCACTCGTCGCGAGGGACCGGAGCAACTCTTGTTCGTACTCTCGAACAGACAGCAGCTGACCAGGCAGTCATTCACAGTAACAGTATGGTCTCTTGTCGCTGCGGCCGGTGTACCATCCCAGTCGAACTACTCCGGGCATTCGGTCCACATTGGTGTAGCCACCACCGCTGCTATGGCTAGTGCCCCCGACTCCTTCTTCCGAGTGGCAGGTCAGTGGAAAGAGCGATGCGTGTCTATGCTACATCCAGACTACAACAAGCGCATAGCGCCAGCTATCGTCCCGGCTTGCTGCCGTGCCATGGATGCCATGATCCCCAACTCGGGTGAGTAATGAGCTACTGAACTCTAGCTGCGCAATGCTTGCCTGTGCTGACATTAATTGACCCTTGCTGTGCGTCAATAGTGCTTAGCTAACGGAGTGCTGGTTTCATGGGTCCACTCTCACAACTGGTGTTATCTAGCTATTTGCTGCGGCTCTGCCTTGCGCTATATTACATCCATTTAGCATTGCAGCTCTACGTTGAGCTAACAGCAGCTCTACTTTGAGCTAACAGCAGCTCTACTTTGAGCTAACAGCAGCTCTACTTTGAGCTAACAGCAGCTCTACTTTGAGCTAACAGCAGCTCTACTTTGAGCTAACAGCAGCTCTACGTTGAGCTAACCGCAGCTCTACTTTGAGCTAACAGCAGCTCTACTTTGAGCTAACAGCAGCTCTACCTTGAGCTAACAGCAGCTCTACTTTGAGCTAACAGCAGCTCTACTTTGAGCTAACAGCAGCTCTACTTTGAGCTAACAGCAGCTCTACTTTGAGCTAATCGCAGCTCTACTTTGAGCTAACCGCAGCTCTACTTTGAGCTAACTCCGCAGCTCTACTTTGAGCTAACCGCAGCTCTACTTTGAGCTAACAGCAGCTCTACTTCGAGCTAACAGCAGCTCTGCTCTGAGCTAACACCAGCTCTACTTTGAGCTTCAAACCAGTTGTTTCGAAACCAGCACTCCTCAATCCAAAGATGCCTCTTTGTTGACTTGTTTGTGTGAGGGATGGGGCTAATGGTGTACTAGCTGTGCTAGTACTTGTTAGCAACAATCCGAACTAGCGCACACACTGCACTGCATTGCTTTGTACTGCATTCAAGACTGACGTCATGCGCTTTGTTTTGCTGCGTAATCACAAATGGCACCAGCCCATTTTTGCGGAAAAGAAAAACAAATCTTGCTTGCCCTGTTGTGCTCTTCCAGACAACGGATCGTGCTTCAGCAGTGTTTCTTTTCCCACCATCCCTCCCTATCCAACTTATTCACACCATCATAATATTATCGTACCCACTAACCGGGTCCACTCTCACAACTGGTGTTATCTAGCTCTTTGCTGCGGCTCTGCCTTGCGCTATATTACATCCATTTAGCATTGCAGCTCTACGTTGAGCTAACAGCAGCTCTACTTTGAGCTAACAGCAGCTCTACTTTGAGCTAACCGCAGCTCTACTTTGAGCTAACCGCAGCTCTACTTTGAGCTAACAGCAGCTCTACTTTGAGCTAACAGCAGCTCTACCTTGAGCTAACAGCAGCTCTACTTTGAGCTAACAGCAGCTCTACTTTGAGCTAACAGCAGCTCTACTTTGAGCTAACAGCAGCTCTACTTTGAGCTAATCGCAGCTCTACTTTGAGCTAACCGCAGCTCTACTTTGAGCTAACCGCAGCTCTACTTTGAGCTAACCGCAGCTCTACTTTGAGCTAACAGCAGCTCTACTTCGAGCTAACAGCAGCTCTGCTCTGAGCTAACACCAGCTCTACTTTGAGCTTCAAACCAGTTGTTTCGAAACCAGCACTCCTCAATCCAAAGATGCCTCTTTGTTGACTTGTTTGTGTGAGGGATGGGGCTAATGGGATTTAAAGTGGGTTTTTGATCCTCAATTCGGCCGAAGTCGAACTTTCAAAAGCCAGCGGGACTGTTTCCGATGAATGGACTGTAGTACCTGGTTCAACCAGGCAAGAACACCGTAGTGAAGAGAGCATCACATGTCAAAATACCAATGTACAGTCAGACCTGGCTTATCCGGTCCTCGCTTATCCGGATCCCTCGCCATCCGGAAGAAAATAGCTGGTTACAGATGTACAGCATACGTGATGCATCCAACAAAACCTGTGTTCGATTATCCGGTTCCCTCGTCTATCCGGATACTTTCGTGGAAAACGGATGTGTGCGGTTAAGCAATGTCTGACTTGTACTAATTTCAATTCAGCCCTGAACGGAATGTTGTGCCAAAAACTCCTTTTGCTATTCGCGGGTTGTATGGTGGCTAGATCTACTGTATAATTTCTCAGGCACCTGATCATGTACAAATTATGTAATACACTACAATGGTTGTGTATGAGTGTGTGCATGCGTGTGCGCGCTTGGATGAAAGCATATGTGTGTTTCTCAATGTATCCACCCAGACCCACTCTAAGCCTACGCGACGTGCAGCACATCGTAGCGCTGACTGCAGATCACGTCACACTGGAACACAGCGTCAAAATGGCATGGCAACGCAACGCTGCCGGATTCCACTTCTCCCCGTACTTTGGGTTTGGACTGCTCAACACGTCGGCCATGATAGCCATGGCAACGAAATGGACCAGTGTCCCCGAGCTGCAGGGCTGTGTGCTGCCATGGAGACTTGCTGGACCAAGGTGAGTTATGCCGTGAACATGGTACGATTATGGCAATGGCGTAGAAAGGCCTTGATCTGGCACAGTACACAATCTCAGGATGCATGTTTGGGAGCAGAAAAAAAACAATATGAACTGTTTACAGTGCGAAAGATGTTGCGACATCGGCGGTGATTAGTGAAGAAAGTGTCTGCTCCAATCGTCGGAGCTCGCGCTTCCTGCCGACTGACTTGACACTTGACTGACTCACGACTGCGTCTGGAGCTCATGAGAAGCCTGTCGAACCTTGCACTCGGCAAACCTTCAAGAAAGCACCACTCCCTGCTCAATACACAGTCAGTTGGCAGGAAGCGCGAGCTCCGATGTTCGGAGCAGACACTTTCTTAACTGTTTACATTCAATGCTGCTGCTGCACATTTCATTTTCCAACTGTTT